CCCAAAGAGAGCTGACAGGGCCAGCCTTTAGAATTGTCCTGTGGCCTCACTCTGCGGGAGCTCAGGGTCAGGCCGGCCTGCTGCTTCCCTCACCAGAGGCCTCAGCCGGTGGGCAGTCCTTGTGGTTAGAATGCCACTACCCCCTCTGCACACAAGTTGTCCGCAAATGGCTTATTCGCTTGCTCCAAGTTTTATAGTGTGCCAAGATAATGGAGAAGAAATGGTTGGAATTTCTCATTTTGAAACCTGTATTTTAGCTGGGACACTCAGTTCTAAACAAACAGGCTTTAAGTGCACACTTAGGAAATGGGAGAGAAATAATGTTGTAGAACAGTCTTTTCGAAGACTGAGGTGGGTTAACCAAACTTTTAATAACAAGGAGAGAGTTTTTCTGAGAGTATGGCCCCTGCTAATGAAGAAACAATGGTCACAGATGTTCAGGTAATAAACACACTCACTCTAAAGCCCTTGCCCCGCCAGGGTTCTGACTCCAGGTGACCCTCACCGAGCTGCCGAGGCTGGGAATCCGAGGGGAGAACTGCCCATCTTTCTCCCCAGAGCAGCTGTCCAATGCTTCCTACACCGTGCCTCCAGGCCTCCTGGTAAATGCAGTGGCGGCTCTAATTTAGTCCTGATACCGCAGGAAAGTGACACTAATGCAGTTTTCACAGGCAAACTCAATGAACAGCTGTGTTTTCTGGTCTGTTTTCTAAGATACTACAAGGGGAAAAATCAATGCCTGGAGTCTGACAACAGCACTGGGGCGTCTGGGGTACCCCCACCTCCCTCCTGGAATCCTTTAAGAAGCCACAACTCTATTGTCTATGTTTGGGTCGTTAACATTTGTTGTTTTGTGGGAACACATGTGGCTAAAATACCTTTCCCAAAGAGGCTGACATCGATCTCCTGCCAAACGAGGACAAAATCTTAAACAGATGGTTTGGGAGCACTTAGGAGGCAACCTGATCTCTTTACGCTCAGGGCTGACAAACACAGACTGGCTGATAAGAGGTCACCGTGGGGTTAACCTGCAAGTGCCAGAAAGGCTGACGGGGCCAAGAAGCCAGGGCTGCCGTCAACCTGGACGGGTGCCTGCTGCAGGCCGAAGTGCAATGGCCAATGGGTTTCCGGCAGATTTATCACTTGGTCATTGTCTAGAGAAGCTAGTCTAAATATGTCCAGCATTTCTTTCCCTTTAAAAGCAGTTTTATGACTTTAAACAGCATTTTGCTCTTTTAGCTTTATTTGAACCTTACAGAGCGGCCTCATAATGTCTGTGTCTTTGGAAGCTGATCCTGGTAGGTGTTAAAGCGTAAGCGACTCCTCACAGTGACCTGATGCAGGAGAGAAAGAACGCTTCATGGGAATGCGTATGTTAGTGATGTGTGTATGAGTCGGGGCTGACCCAAAGCTGACCCTCCAGTGAGTTTGCAGAGGCAGTAAATCACACTGGAAGAGACTGCCCAGCCTTCTCCTGCAGAGTAGCTGGTGGGTTTGAACCACGTGCCTTCAGGTTGACAGTGCAATTCCTTATCCTTAAGCTACCAGAGTTCCCTTATAAATGTCTCTGTGTGTGTGTACATATGCATGTGTCTGTCTGTCTGTCTGTCTGTCTACAGCGAACCAAAGGGGAGGCCTCTCAGGAGGTTCGAATCCATCAGCGGCTTCTCAATGAAAACCCGCTGGAGGGCAGATCAGGAGTCAGGTCTGACTCAGTGGCAATGAGCTTGGATGTGCTGGGACACAGAACAGGATAACAGGAATAAAGCGAAGTACTTGGAGTGATGAGAACTCGGGCACAGTGTCTTTCTGGCAGCGGGAACCCACGAGTGGTCACGTGGGAGAAGCGAGCATTCTCCTTCTGTGTGATTTACAGCCTCAGAGAACTGCAGAAGGTCAGCTATGAGTGGGTTAATAACTTTACTTCTAGGACTTTGTTTTACAGAAATACCTGCTTGAAGGCACAATTGTATATAAGTAAGCACAACTCCATAATTTGCAGAGACTCAGTACAAGATGAAAATGTGTGGTTCCTAGGAAAAGGTGCCATTAAACAGGAAAAGAGAAAACAATTTCCTGTCTCCCTGGCTTCCTTTTTGACCCATCAGGGATCTTTTTACATCTGTTGTTTAAAGTCACACCTCATTAAGCCACACTGTTCTTGTCCACTACAAATGCTCACAGTTGTCTGGGGTCTGCCCTGCAGTTCAGCTGAACCTGCTGGGAAGCTGCATGGCAGTGGGGTTAGGCTGGGGCCCCAGGGCTCGGGGGCAGGCAGCTTAAGACCAGTAGTGAGGAAGTTGGAAGGAGGCCAGAGGCAAAGCCCGGAACCCTTGGAGGAAAGCTCTGAGTTCTCAGTGCACGTTCCATTTTCCTCGAAAACTTCTGTTACAAAATGCAAATATAAAATGAAGCATTTCAAGGTAGGACTATGTATGTGCAGAGCAGTCAGCCCTAAGCCCAGGACTCTTCTCAGCACAGAGCTGGACGACTGCGCTAGCTGTAAACCGTGAAGCCAGCCTTGCATATGTAAGTTTGTTCACATGGCACTGCCGCTTGTAGACGTTTGGGTGAACAACGTGTTCATTAACTAGTGATTAGACAAATAGGTAGAACATGCTTGGTAAGGGAGACAATCAGAAAAAAATCCAATGTCCTTGCGGAGACAGACTGAATCAGAGGCTTCAGCGGGCACATAGCTACAGCCACAGGGCGAGGGATCAGGGCGTGCTTCACTCTGTGCACAGGGCTGCTAGCACACAATGCACAGGACGGCACCTAACAATCGCAGAGCAACTACAACCTCACTATACCAGGGGAAGTCTGCAGCTACTAAGAAGTGGAGAGTCACGTGAATGCAGCTCCCTGTGCAACACACACGGACAAAGAAAACCAAAGAGCATGTCGGTCACGAACCCTTAAAATAGTGTGGATGATGTCTATGTGGGAGTGGGTGCCTGAGAGACAGACTGACCAAGACAGACGGAGAAACAGAGCACTCACATGTATTATTGATAAAAGCGTGCCTCAAACCTTTAAAGTGATTACAGGAGGAACTGATTTTTACCTTTTATACTGTTAGTATTTCAAATTTTTACTGTTACTAAATTTTTTACAGTTACTATTTATTATTTTTAATTTTTTACATTATATTGGTTTGCTTACAAAATTTGTACATATTGTGTTTCACACTATCTTACTCTGTTGTTGTATTTTTATTTTATACCTATAATACCCTAAATATCTACAATTTCACATTTTTACTATATGACTTATTGGGGAGCTCTGGTGGTTTAGTGCAGGGAATGGTTTTGTCAGTGCAAAGGCACACGGTTTGACTCCACCAGCTGCTCCATGGGGCAAAGATGGACCATCTCCTGCGCGATTTACTGCCTCTGAAAATCTGCTTGAGGGTCAGCCACCGATTGGTTCTGACCTGACGGTATACAACAACAACAAGATATTATTTACACTACATAGGGTCCTCTGGTGGCCTAGTGATAAGCGGTTATGCTGTCAACCCTGAGACATGTGGTTCGAATCCACCAGCTGCTCTGCAGGAGAAAGATGGGCAGTCTCTTCCTGTGAGACTTACAGCCTCAGAAAACCTGCTGGAGGGTCAGCTGTGAGTCAGTTCCGAGTCGACGGCGCCTAATGACAGCAATATTATTTTACTTTTATTTAAACCACGAAAATTAAAAAGAAAAAATGAACTCTAACACCCAGAAAAATCTGAGTCGCAGAGAAATCTGCTGGCTTCACTTAGCATTTAAGAATTACGACATGGGCGAGCTCTGGTGGCCTAGTGGCAAGAAGATGCACTGCAATCCTAGAAGTACGTGGTTCGAATCCACCAGATGCTCTGCTGGAGAAGGAGGAAAAATCTCCTCCTGTACCAGTCAGATCTGATTTGATGGTACACACACAAAATAATAAAAAAAAAAATTTTAAAAAAAAGAATTACGACATGACCTCAGAGAAAGTTTTCTACGAGAAAGTCCTGTAAAAGACCAGCCATTACAGAGGTTACAGTCGCTTTCCCCGTTTCTCTGAACTCTCACCGTCACCAGCCAGCTCCTCAAGAGGGGGTGCTGAGTCCATCGACTCGAGGACGCTGTCGGTGATCTCAACAACCTGCAGCCGCCTGACTCTGCTGAGGTTCGTGTTTTTCAAGCCTTCCTCCAATTGCTTGGCCACTTCTTTTCCAGGCTGGGAAGTCACCACAGTAACCTGGAAACAAAGCCAGGAAGTTAGCAGGTTTTGGTAGGACAGGCCATTGCTCGTCCCAGGACCCCTCCGGCCAGGTTTAGCAAACCCCAGAGGCGACCACACGTGCGCTTTAGTCTTTCAAGGTGCTTTAAGGCCAGTCAGCATCTCTCCCACTTAACATGCTTCTGGTTTACGAGGCAACAGGATCCCTGCATTCCACTCACTAAATGTGCCCTGATGGTGGCAGAGCTTGCGTGTTCTGGTATAGCTATGCTCTGGTGTGAGCTTTCTCGGAGTGATCTCTCTCCTTGTTCAGCCCAGGTCTGTTTCTCCAGCTCTCTTGTTTTTGAAAATCTTTACCCATGATCAGTACAGGTGACCTGAAGAAATGCTGAGGTATGTGTGTGTGATTTGACCATTTTTTTCTATTTGAATGAAGACACTGTATTCTAGCTCAGACTTTGAGGCCCTGGCAAGTATCCACGAAATACATCAACTCTTCTTTTGTACTTGGAAAGTCTTGATTGATGAGAAGGGACACAGATGAAAGCAAGACTATTTTTAAACTCAGATTAACCAGAGGCAGAGAGAAAATGTTTTAACTTATACTCATTCAGACATCCAACGGCATCTGCAGGCATGGCTTGCTTATGTTTTAAGACTGTCTAAATCTGATACTAAAGTGACAGCAATGTTTTCATTCACAAAAGGCAAATTTGTGCAATGTGACGCTGTAACACAAAATTGTAAATTGTACTTTAGGGAAACTGAGTGTTCTCTATCTGTGACAATAAGGCCATTTTATGTTCGAAACCTGGGTGCTGTACAGTAATAATTTTTTACATAGATGCATAATCTTTCATGTTTACAGTTATGCTTTGAACTACACTGAACTTTAGCTTGTCTTGTTTCAGAAAACAAATTAGGATTAATGCGCATGCCCTCTTCCAAGAACGCTGAGGGTGTACAACCCTGGGCCACTGCTCTTGGGACTGTCCTGGTGACATTTCCTTCTAAGGTTTCATAATGTTTGAGCACATACTGCTCTCTTGCAAGATTTGTGTAATCAAATATAATTCTCAAACAATCAAAATTTTTTCAAAGTTTCCTGATAAAATAGCACTTAGAAAGTCTTAATCAGAGACCCAAATTTTTGGTAATGACCTGATACCCGACTTTAAAGTCAACTACTAAACCTCCACAGCAACCTCTTAATGGTATTCTGAGTTGTTCCTTTCTGGCACTGTCAAGATTATAAGAACAACTGTAAATTTCTAAGGGTGCCAATAAATATAAAAATAAAAATGGAA